ATAAATTACACTTATTTTATTGTGATATAATAATCGAATACAAATAATATTTTTCAACTGGTGAAAATTACTTATTTGTACTGAACAATTATTTCGGAATTTTTTTTTTAACTTGCTTTAATTAATAAAAGTAGTTATTAATAATGTAAATTTATTTCGAAATCAAATTTTTCTTTGAAATATTTTCAGCAAATTTTTCTTTTTTATTAAATCTTCTTTGTATTTAAAACGGGTAAAATAATCTTTGAAAGTAATAGTAACATAACTAGAGCTCTTATTTAACGGAGATTAAAATAATTGATATATAATTAAAGATCGGATGCTGCACATTTTAAGATAATTATTAATGATAATTAAATTAAGAAAACTATTATTAATAATGTAAATTTAAATCAAAATCAGATTTATCTTGAAATATAGCTGAAAATACTGGCATAAAACTTTAGTCTTCGAATAAGTCCTTTTTCAATAACTTTTAATTTAGGCATTGCTTTTTTTTTTTAATTACTTGCACATAGAGATTACACATAGACATTTGATGATCGATTACTTAAATCTTAAGTAAATTTATTTTTAAATATCAAACTAAACTTCTTCTTACACACATTATTACGTATTTATATAATAACAACATTCGACTCAAAGCTATGCTAACATTAAAAAAGTTCTGTAATTATAGAAAATTTTAAATTTTAAGTAATTATTAAAAATTTTAATAAAATTTTAAATGAAGTTGAAAATGAATACTCTGAGAGGATTTTTAAAAAATTTCTTTCGTTCTTACCAATTATTTTGTTTTTGGATATTATATGATTTGCAAATCATGTCGGTTTAAAGCGACCGTTAAAATATTTTGTCATATAATTAAATTTTAGAAGCATTCAAGATAAAGTTATTACAAAATAATGTAAATATTTTTACGTTTGAAATTTTTTATTGAAATTCCTATTAACTTAAAAAAAAAATAAGTAATGAATATTTTCTTTTCTTTTATTATTTATTTTTTAAATAGTGGGTGGTCTTTTACGATTCATAGCGAGTAATAGATGGCAGCACAATAAAAAAATATTTATAAAAATTTCTTGAAATTCTCAGTTCATCTTTATCAACTGAAAAGGAAAAATTAATATTTTATATTCAGTCTGTACTACTCCGAAGTTTATGATAAAGTTATAAAACTCTTTGGCTTTGTCACATGTCTAATATAGGTGTTGATTATTAAACGCAGATAATTTCTCAAAATAATATAAAAGCAGAGAGGCCAACTGGCACGACCGGACAGCAAATAAATTTCTTCGAGTGGTAGTTTATTAATGTGTGATTCTTGGTTTAATAAATTCAATTTTTATTAGGTTTTTATCCACCACTATTTCTAAATAATTCGAAAGGTTATATAATTCGCCAATTTGTTACAGTTAAGTCTTGCTACACAGTTAAAAAAATAAGCAAAATTAGTAAAATATTTGCACATTTTAGTTTGTAGTTGTTTACCGTTTTCTAAATAATTATGGCGCATTCGGAGCAGTTGGCATCTCTGTAAAAAGATATATTTTTCTATCATGGTAAATATTTGTTGACATTGAATGCTGATTATAACGATGCCAACTGATCTGATAATAATATTTGAAATTCCTCAAATAATTAGATCATTAATTATAAACTAAGGTAAGGAAACTCATTTCTGCATTGTTTCATGTACATAAATCTGTATTAAGTACATAAATCTGTATTATGTTATGTTATATTATTTGTATTATTATATAAATGTACACATTCCCAAATTTTCCAGACAAAAGTTAAACTTAGATAAGAAAAAAAAAAAAAAATCAAAATATTAGGTAAATCATAGCATACTACTTTTTGAGTATATTGTTTCAAATAGTAGTACGCTCTGATCATTATATATTATAAAAATGTACACATTCCCAAATTTTCCAGACAAAAATTCAATTCAGATTAAAAAAAATTAAAATTTAAAATAAATTAATTACAAATTAAGTACGTATTATATAATTAAAATTCCTGATAAAATGTTTGAAAAAATTATTCGAAAGATTATTCCGTTGCGTTAATTAAATTTTTATTATTGAGTTGATATTAGGTTTATTGATTTAGACAGCCAGCTGTTTTATTTTTTAAATTACACTACTGCCGCTAGATAGCAGCACCATAAAAGTTATGCAAAGAATATGTTATTGAAAAATCACTCATAAGATCATACATTTACATTTCTTTAAAGATTAGTTTTTGAATTTTAGAGAATTGTTTTTGTGTTCTAAATATTGTATTGAAATTGAAAAAATATTATCTGTTGCAAACGTAGTTGATTAATTGAAGTATAATATTTTTTATTAATTCACAGAAACTTAAAATAAATATCAAATTTTCTTTGCACGCACTACACATTAATGTTAGCGCATTAATGATTTTAATCTATTATAAATAGAAGTATATACGTGTAGTAGGAAATAGGTAAGCATCAACTGATATTCTACACAGTATTTGGCATTGGTTTCTTAAACTTTTAGATGTTTTGTTTTTGGTGCTGCCATCTTTTAGTAACAGTTGTAATCTAAATTAGATAGGAAGTACATGACTCTCTCTACTATGTTTCTTTCTATTTTTCTGTCTGTCTTTTTTGCTAACTTCCTCTATAATATTGTTTATGTTTTATATTTGATACCTTAGAGTAATCCAAAACTACCCAACATTATGAAATAATATCGAATGAACAAACTTCTAGAGTATTTTGTCAACATTTAATGTATTAAGATGCTTTAAAAGAATTTTTTTACTTTAAGATATATTTATAAATATAAGGTAAACTTAGAGAAACTTTTAGAATAATTAAATAACATGATAATTATTATTAAAAAACTTTCAAGGTTTTCGCAGTCGAATATCACTTTAATACTCAAGAAATACAAATAATCTAATTTATTAATTTAACAATTAATATAATCTTACTTTTAAACAAATACTATTTATAGTCTTTACTAGGAATTCAATAAGCACTCCTTTTTGAATTTTTTTGGAAAACACACAACATGAACGTAATCTTTTTACTTTATTTCTCAAAAAATCTAATAATTAAATAAAATTTTTGAAAACACTTTTTTTATCACACCTAATCCTAAATTTATCGTTTCATCTTTATTTTAATATCTTTTATTTTGGGTAACCTGTTATAATTTCATACAGTCTTTAAATTTTGATTTCACGTGCAATCGCCAAAGACAGATTTAGACATACAGTGTGTATATACACATAATTCTCTTTCACGGTGATTGAGAAAGTCGTCATTTCTTCTTCTCGTTGGCAACAAAGAATTGAAACTTCAAACGTGTGTGAGCTGTCATAAGCATGACAGCGGGATCATTCATATTCACAAGTTTCTAAATAAAAATTCTTACTCGTGAACAACAATTCTTTTCGTGGACAACGAAAAGCTGAAGCAAACTGAGCTATAAGTTGGAAGAAATTGGAAGAGTAGAAGCGAATAGTTCATAAGAACACCCAAAATGTTCTTTATTATGTTTTAATTGTGCTTATGCTGGTTCAACAATAATAATTTTACTCATTGTTACTGTTATTTCTTCTTATTACGCTTCATAAGTATAATAATAATAATAAAAAGAAGCAGTAGAAAGCGTTGATAACAGCTATAATAGACAAAACATTGAAAGAATGCGTAGGAAACGTACTATTGTCAAATACATATTGCTTTAAAAAATATAATTATTGCTCCAAGTGTATTGCTGCAAGTTTTTCTATTATATGGCATTGATTTCAATTTAAAATGTTTTGTTTCAATAGCTTATTATTCTCTAAAAATTTATTTTTCTAAAGAGGAAGTAGTATTAAGGGTTTTAATACTTTATTTCAATTTTAAATATTTTATGATAGAACACTTTTCAAATCGAAAAACGAGCATGGTTTGCAAAACAAACCGTATAAGATTGCATAGCAATCTTAAAGGGTTAGAAAACGCCAGTGAACAAGGCCTACTAGTATTAAAACGATTAAATTATTAAATAATGCAAGAGTATAAGAGAAAGAACCAGTCTTGACTATAAATGATATCTTGTAGACTAAATAATTTCTTCCGAAAATTTGATTTTGAATTGTTAAAGCTCTTTCTCAAATTTGTGTCAGTTAATTTGTGAGATTCTATCAATCTTTTCCTTAGTTTTCAGTACATCCTATTCTGATGCTTTATCAAAATAAAAATGTTCTCATCAAAATTTCGGTTGGAAAGTATTGTTTCTTCTTGGTTATGTGGGTCAGTATTATTTCCTCTTCTTTGTTTCTAAAGCTTAAGAAAAAACATTTTGTGGGACATTTTTCAACCAAGGCTAGCGAAGAAAACTGGTGTTTAATAAAGTAATTTTTTTGATTTGCAAGAATTTAGTTGATAAGATAATATAAACTGATAATTTCTGAAACTGATATCTTATTAGCTAGTCAGTATACTTTAAAATAATTTACGATATTTTTCACATCTTTAAATCAAAAGGAAAATTTATGTTGCAATTATCCATTACACAAACTTACCTTTTTTGGAAAATAAGATTAGATTTTTCATGTCTGCAATCAAGGAATTTCTCATGGAACTCACTAACTAAATTATTTTCTACTAGGAAATTAAAAAATAAATACTTAGCTCTGCAATGTTCGATGACGAACAAGTAGAAAATTCAGTTAAAGGAAAGCGTTTAAAAACTAATTTGGTCTACATTTAGTCTTTACTCAGAGGATGGTCTACTTTTGGTATACTTTTCTCTACATTAATGGTCTATATTTGGTATTTATTTATTTGGTATTGCGGATTTTCCAGTGAAATAAATATAGTTTTTGTATGTTCTGTTAAATGTGTATTTTTTTTAGAAACTTTACGTTTTTATTCTCCTTAATTTTACTTGAGACTGATAATCTTTCTTTTATATTTTCAAATAAAATGTTTATACAATATTTTTACTCTCGTTTTCAAAAGCAACTTCTTATTTTCAATTATTTATTATAAATAAACTGAAATCACATCACAAAAACACAAAACTTATGTAGGAATAGGCAATTGATTATTTCTACACTTACGATTATAGAAAAATCAATTTATCAATGCATCAAGAAGTTTGAATGATTTCTAAACTCTTACAAGTTACATATAATATAAATTGAGTATATAGGACACTATAGAGCCTTTATCATATGTCACCTGCATTCAAACAAATCGGTTTGAGATCAAACATTTCAAACAATCACACAATTTCTCAGTTTTTTTTTAGGAACAAAATCAACACGCTTACAAAATTCACAATCCCTTATGGTTATTGTTCTGAAATATGGATGAATTCAGACTATGGTTCGATATTTATATACATAATACAGCATAGGTTAATATTGGAATACATTATGAGTCCAAAGTTTAACAATAAAATATGGCTTTAAACCAAGATTCAGCCAGGTATGGAAGCCAATTCGGCAACTGCTCCAGGGGGTGCTTTCATATAGCCGTAGAGTCTTTGATCCAATGCCCATTCATTGTTTTCTAAGATCATTTTGTGCCACCAACTGTTGTCGAAGGGAGGCAGTTCTCCACCGTATTCTTCGGGCAATATGCTGGGAGAAATATGTTTATGTAATGATTTCAGATCATTGCCATGGATGAATATCTACCAAAAAAGAAGACATATTCAGTGACCGACAGTTATAAATAAATGCACTGAGAAAATAATATGGTTAAAACTGCCAGAATATGGTAAAATGTATTGTGTTTCTGACTCTATTGGAACACCAAGAAGCTCGGTAATTTTTAGGGAAGCGCTTCGGTAAAATTAAAGATGTTGTTGTTGCTAATCTCGGAATCGTCTAGCAGCGCTAGATGACTCCCATGAATCCGAACACCTCCAAAAAGTTCATAAAAAGACTGGAGTCTCGCAGGACCTCATCTTTACCGAACCCCAAACAAATCAGAATATGCGCAGTTGAGGCAATGTCTGTCGAGCACCAAATACATTCAGGATAAGTTTTTTGGCCAAGGTTGAAAGTAAGGGATATAGTGTGGCCACTCAAGAAGCGTGAAAAGGCAGTTTGATGGGCTCTCTGTCTAAGATTGAAAGATTCAAAATTAAAGATAAAATATAGTTTTATAACGTGTGACAAAATTTGGTAAATGTGATAATTTCATCAAAATACTTTATGTCATGAAAAACACTTATTTGGTTAAATTTACCTTTTAATCTTGTATTTTTATTAGATGTGTGGTAATAAGAACTATAATTTTGAAAACCAGCATTTCCGGTAAATCGTTACATTATAAACGGAAAAATTATTAAAGGAATATTTTAAATATCTATGTTATGGTTTTAATAACCAGAATTATGCTTTATTTACCAGAAGTTTCATTACTTTAGAGTACGGTAATCTTCCAGAATATTTTTATCCCTGTGGATGGTAATTAAATAAGTTCATTTATTTCAAATTACAGAATTAAGAATATCGTAGTTCAATGAAAAAATGAAATGTTTCAATAAAATGTTTTAAGTAGTTTTATATTATTATTGGCCAGCTGTGTAAAGTTAGTAGTCTTATTTTAGTAGTCTTATTTCTTAAATTTATTCTAGAGAACATGAGCATTTGTAGAATAATAATAATAATAATAATAATGAGACATTATAAAGACATAATGTCTAATAATTAGACATTATATATAAATATAATAATAAAAGCTATTTATTATTATTTTTCAAAGTAATTCAGCCGGCGGAGTTCGACAAAACGAAAATTTAGTTTAAAATGGAAAAAAAAAGAAAAAAGAATTACTTTTTTTGTTATTCAAAAAATGAAACAGGAATTGAACGCGTTGAATGAATAACACAAATACCGGAAGCGATTTTGCTTGGAAGAAATTGGATCGCAACCACGTGTTTTTGCAAACGAAAAATACAGGTGTAAACGTCTGAGAGTTCATTTTGTCATTTTCATCGTCAAATTGGACGCACCTAAAGGAATGTCGCACTCAGAATATCAAATTACATCTCTAATTATGTTTTTAAATCACGAAGGAAAAATGAGGTGAATTTTTTAACGTTTCAATGCTGAGGTTGAGCATGTTTTCATGTTATGAAATCCTTCCAAAACCGGATGATAGTAATTTTTTTTTACAATTCCTTTGTTTATGAAACAGACTTTTCATCTTGTTTTTTAAGTTTAATTCACAATAATAATGAGGGTGTTTTATTCGCATTGGCTCATAAACATTTAATTAAAAATATAGTATTATTTATAATTACTATGAAAATAAACTTTAAAAAATTCTTGATTAAATTACGACATAAGATATCGGTACTTTAGATGCATCATCCGTAAAATCTATTTTAGCTTATTATCTATTTTTATCGTAAAAAATGAAGTACCGGCACTTTAGGTGCATCATCTGTAAAATTCTTTTATCGTAAAATCCATTTTTTACCGTAAAATATTATACCATAATCTTAATAATAATATTTATTTTTAGTGAATAGATCAGTGTACATAAAACAGTAATTATTACTGTAAAAATTACGTTATGTCAGATTTTTGTTTTGTAACATGTTTCGGTAAAAAAAATGGATTTTACAGTAAAAACTACAGGTATTCTGAGTGCCGGTACTTTTCACAGTATTTTGATCTGGAATTTTTTACTGTGTTGTACTCATATAAGTTTTACCAATCCAATAGTTTTGTACAGAAAGCTAACGCTTATTTGAGGCTTTATTATGTTACGTTAAGCTTTTGTTAAGTGTTATTACTATTTTAATACTATTTTAAAAGCGTTCAATACGTTTTGATGTTGTTTAATTGTTCATAAATTTTCCGAAAAGTGTTTGAAAAGTTAAAAAAATATTTCAACTTCCTGATTTATTTCCTGTTTGGCCTTCGGTGTGATCAACAGTACAGAAAATTCAATTAAACATGCCTTGCTATAGTTGTTTTATTCATGCTTTTTCAGCATATGAAATATTAAACTTTAGGGAATAATGTTCTATTTTTAGAACTGTTATGAGTTCGAACAGGTTAATCATGACTCTTAGAATAAGGTTTCTTCATACTCCTCTATCCTGATTATAAAAACATGGTATATAAAATTCCTGATTATAAAAACCTGTTCCTGATTATAAAAACGTGGTATATAAAATTCCTGATTATAAAAACCTGATCCTGATTATAAAAACGTGGTATATAAAATTCCTGATTGTAAAAACCTGATCCTGATTATAAACACGTGGTATATAAAATTCAAGTAGCATATAAAATACAAAGAAAAGCCAAAATTTTTTGGAAATAAGAAGAGTTTGAGATCGAATTTTTTAATATTTGAAAAAATAGTAGAAATATTCAGGATCATAAAATTTATGAGAATTGAAAGTTATTCACTGGTTTATTAATTTTCATCTAGCTGAAGAACAATTAAATAACAAATGAACAATTAAATACTTGAAATATTTTACAAGAAATATTTAAAGCATCTTAAATGCCTAAAATAAGCTAAGATCTACTTAAAATTTTTAAATTATCTGGAATACATTAATTTTTAGTTTGAGATTAATCAATGCGAATACAAATTAAAGTACTAAAATTTAATAAACATTTACAACTTAAAAAAAAACATTATAAGTTTTAAGCCTTTTGAACTTACACTCTATAACAATAAAATTGTCGCACCAAGAAGGAGTTGTCCGATTAAAACGAAAATTGGTGGATAGGAAGACAATGTACAGAATTGTAAATGATTAAAATTTCAGAACAATTGAATAATTTATTGCAGAGTTACAGTAACAAGTTCAATAAGGTGTTGACCCGCCTCTAGCCTGGATACAAGCTGCCACACGGCGTGGCATAGACCGATAAAGCTCCCGGATGGTCTCTTGCGGTATTTCCTGCCAAATTCGATCCAATTGTCGAACGAGGTCATCAACATTCCGTGCCAGATGCAATCGCCTTCCCATCATATCCCAGACATGCTCGATGGGAGAGAGATCTGGTGATCTGGCAGGCCAAGGAAGAGTTTGACAAGCTTGCAGACAGTTCATAGCAACACGTGCCGTATGTGGTCTGGCATTGTCCTGCTGAAAAACCAGCCCAGGGCGCTGCAAAAGGAACGGTAGCAAAACAGGTCTTAGGATGTCGTCGACGTACCGCTGTGCAGTAAGTGTACCTCTAATGACGACCAAAGGGGTCCGGCTGTCAAAGGAAATGGCACCCCAGACCATAATGCCTTGTTGAGGTCCGGTGTGGCGTGCAATAGTGAAGGCAGGATCCCCCCTCTGCCCTGTGCGTCTCCAAACGCGTCTTCGATGATCGTCAGGACACAGTTGAAAGCGGGATTCGTCGCTAAAGACTATACGTCCCCAGTCGGCATCATTCCAGCCTGATCGAGAGTCGATTTTGCGCGTTTTAGTGCGTTCTCGGTGCGTCGATTTTTTTTTTGTTATAGAGTGTACTAATATTTACCCTTTTGCTATGTTATGTGTAATTTTGAAGGTGCTATGTAATGATTATTTTTCATAAATTAAAGCTAAAGTATTTTTTCAAAAAAAAGCACCTAAGGCCTTTTTTTCTGAAAAAATTAATCTGAAAAAAACCCCATTAATTTTTAGTTAAAGATAAATCTATGTGAATACAAAAAGTACTAAAATTTAAAAAAACTTAGGACTTAAAAACCCTAAAGCCTTTTTTCTAAAAAAATTAGTCTGAAAAAATACATTAGTTTTTAGTTAGAGATTAATCAATGGCAATACAAATTAAAATATTGAAATTTTCATAAAAAGAAACATTAAAAACATTTTTAAAGCTTTTAAGTGTTTTTAAATGTTAATATTTACCCTTTTGCTAACTAACGTGTAATTTTTCATGTAATGTATAATTTTGAATGTGCTCTGTAATTTTTTCGAAATTAAAACAAGATGCAATTTTTTTTAAATGAGACTTTAAACCTTTGCGATAAAAAAAAATTAAACAGGAAAAATTTATGAGTTTTCAGTCAAATATTAATGAATACGAATGCTAGTAAAATACTGAAATTTTTATAAAAACGCATACATTCTTTTATAAGTTTAAAGTGCTTTGAGTAAGAGTGGAACTGTCATAGGCTGTAGTGCCCAAGAAGAAGAAAAAAGTGTTTTGAAATGGATGTAATATTTACCCTTTTCTGCATCTTTAGAGTGAAAACGAAAGGATAAACCATATTCCAGGCCACTTGGAAAAACTTTGGCATGCCTATCACGTGTGCTCCTTTATACCTTCCAGGAAAGCAAGACTATAAAAATTTGAAAAAAATGGTGTTAGTTTCATAGATAGTTATTTTACAACGGCAACTTACAAAGCAATATAATGTTTCACGATTAAAATCGATTAACTTTTTTAAAATTCTTGTTTTATTTATTTTTTCCGTTTGGTCCAAAAGATACTCACAAAAATACATACACTGTTAGAGTTTTCATTCTAAAATTATGGTGAAATAACAGTCTCTCCATCTAATTGACCGTAAAATTTACAGTAAAAAACATTTTTTTATCATTACGGTTTTGATACCGTTTACACCTAATACGGTTAAAAAACCATGAATACAAAAATTAAAGTTTTTTTTCTAATAATTTGCATGTAGCATGGTATCAAAATCGTAAAACACAGGGATGCCTATTACTCCGCACTCAGCAAAAGTTTTAATAAATTGGTAGCGAATTAAACAGCAAAATTAGTTGAATAAGGATAAATATGTTTACTCTTTAAAAGTGTCACAAAGAGACAACAACAGTAAAAGTGCATTTCATGTGACACTTGACAAGTAGTGCTGGAAAAATTACTTAAAATGAAAATACTAAAAAAGAAAATTACTTAAATTTCTTTACTTCCAGCAAATATTTTTTTTTACAAAGAGGAGCAAGTTGGAATCTTTGAAAAAAGAAATTTAACAGGAGACTGGAGCTAGACTTTTCATTAGGTAATGGACATTGAAATTAGGTTGTGGTTGAGTTGTGTTTTATTCAAATTAGCCGTGGAATGTGGGTAAAATAGTTTATCTGGTTGTTTTACCTACAGTAAAAGATAGGAGATACAAGACATTTTTGTGTTGAATGTAATGACAATAGAAGTAATGACAATAAAGTAATGACAATAGAAGAAAATTTATTAAAATTTTTTTTTAAAGTATTACAAAATATTTTCTACTTATATAAAAAAATTATTAAAAAATCTGGAAAACAAAATAAAGAAAAGATATAATCTCTTCATCAGCTCACACGATTATATCCGCAAAAAGGAGTGCTTCCTAATATTGTATAAATATAGCCAAAGCAAAATATATCAATACAATAGTGTGAGGAGCACTCAAAATTGAAACGAAATTAGAACACATTAAGTAAAAAATATATACGAAAAAACAAACAAATATATCAAGCAAAAAACAGAAATTAAAATGTAAAGAGATTAGAGAACAGTACACGAAAGGAAACCTACATAGTGAGGAGCGAATAAAATGAACTTACGCTTACCGGAATCTTTCAAGAATGATTTAAAATATTTTCGTAATAAGATTGCCAGATTACAANAGATAATGCATAGACGGCTATGTAACTAAGTGTTCAAAGTGTTACGTGAAATTGAAGTCTAATTTTACATGATTTCGGACTCATGTGTTCGTAGATTGCTATGTATGATGCATTATATATATATATATATATATATATACCATGAGTATGACTTTGTTTATTAACCATAGGAGGGTGTTTGCAGAACCTTGGCAATGTAAATTCTAACTAATTACAATGACCCATCTAAACAGTTAAAAAGAGCTATTAGATACATTGGTCAAAGATATTTTGCAACATGATGCCCAGAGGAAAATCTTTAAGATAAACGCATAAAACAGAACAATCACCAAATTATTCTAGAACACACTTAGAGGATGTTATATCGCAATTTAATCTAAAAAGGATTGGGTTCATAAAGTTGTACTAAAATCTTGTCATGATTTATCACTTCTGACCTATTTTTGACATTTGAACTTTTTCTTTCCATACGAATCAAAACAATCGTCACGTGTTGGCAATTTTATAGGAACGCTTCCATTAATTTGGTTTATTTGGTTGAAAAACTCCTTCGGGGTAAGTAATGATATTGTTTTAAGGATTTATATTAAAGAAGAGGGGTTTAGAAATTATGAAATCGAATAAGCAATTAAATCTATGAAATGTCTATTCATTTAAAGACAAAATTAAATTTTTTTTTATGGGTCAAAAAAGTATGTTTCTTTCATTGATGTTTCTGATGAATAAAACCTCAAATACTGGGTAATCCACGCAAAACTGTCATATGGTTGTTTCACATAAACGTCTGAAAGGGCTATCTATATTAACCCTAATTTACAATGTGTTGCCCTTTAACATTATACGTTCAACACAGTTATGCTGAATTATTAATGATATGACTCATAAAAATTATTTAGCAAATTAAAAAATATTATTAGTAGATTTTTACATTGAATGCAAAAAAAAGTAATAAAACACTAAAAAGATTATAAGCTAGTAAATTTTTCCATGCATTCTATAATTTGTGAATCGAATATTTATTGGATTCTTAAAATTTTTATTGTCGAGGTTAATGTTAAGCACACTTTAATAAACAATAACTTTCAAGCGTGTAGAAATTATTACCAACTAAGTCAAAGCAATGGTAAATATTTTTTTCAACGACATAAAACTAGTATCTCACGCATATCGTAGATAAACGAGTTTATGTGTGATTTGAAAACACTTTTAAAGGTATTATTAATACTTTGACAATATGCAAATGTATTAAGAAATAAAATATAAAATTGTTTATTGCCCATATTTTAAGCTTCAAGGTTTACGATTTAATGAATAAATAATAAGAGTCATTGAATTGCATAAGAATAATTGTGTGTGCCCGATCGATATTTAAAAAGAGCTAAATGTACCACAAACGTAGAAAAATTAAAAAAAAAATGGTTATATAACAATTTATTTAATTGTTGTTTTACAATACTCAAACAAAACAGTAAAATAATCATAAGATGGCATTCAAACTGCTAACTGTGAGAAAAACCGTTTTTTGATTGTTATACTCTAATGCGGTTAAACAACAGGAATTTTATTCGCGCTAACTAGGCCCACAGCCAATGAGAATCGAGCTTACGTTCTTTGGAAGCTGGAAACTACGCCGTGTGATAAAGATTACGAAGTCATATTTTTATTTTCATTAATTGAATGCTTAACACCACAATGGCCACCTGATAATTTTTGGGCGCATACTTCAGCCGAGAGGGCAAATATTCGAATGTCATGACAGATGGTTAATCTTCATTTTTGAAACCAAAAAAATTCCCCATTTCTTCCAAAACATGAGGAGTTTTCAGTATCTCGCTCTTCTCAGTTTATGACCCAGGATGATTCAGTTTATGATTCAGTTTATGACTCAGTTTATGACCTAGGACTATTGGTATACGAAACTCTCATTCACGCATAGATGGCAGCACCGCAGAGATGCTTAACACAAGAAGGTCTGGTATTTCCCATCATTCATCATAATTTGATTGACTAATTAAGCCACATTCCACGGTTCACTTGACAAGCGAAATTAAACCACAACCTAACTCCAATATCCTTAACAAACGAAAAGTCCAACGTAATCTATTTCCAATGTCTAGTAAAAATTTCATTTTTATTGTTTTGAAACCATGCTAGTGGTTACAAAACTGTATAGTTATACATTCATATTTTTTTCATCCGACCAGCTGTAAACGGTTTCCAATTCATGAATGCAAGGAAATGTTTCTAACCTTGAACTTCATGGTTAATCGGATGTACAGACTGCTGGTGGTTAGCTAAATATAATTTCAGAATGAAGATTCCAAGAGTGCAGATTTGTATAATACTTGGGATAAGTTATATTGAAACTAATTAGTAATTTCTGTATTGACATAAATCCTGGAGCAAAATATGTGTTGTAGCAGATGTTTTATGTCACCTATTTTGCGGACTAACTATTCGAGAGTTTTTTCGAATTTACGTAATAACAAATTATTAAAAGCGAATAAGAAATTATATATGATATAATTCATTATTTCATATATAATTCAGTATGATAATAATGATTATATATTATCATAATACTGAGCTATGATAATAATAAATACTATTCTGATATAATAAATAATTAAAAACCGATGATAAATTTACGATCAAATATTAAGTGTCCAAATTAGCATAGGGTATGCTTTGTTTTAAGTATAAATAAGGAATAACAAAGTGATTAAAGCAGGAATAAAGATACCGATATGGAAATACTATAGTTTCGGTACCATAAACAAGAACTTTCCTCAATGTTTAAAGACAGTGAGAAAGTGTCTTGGATATGGAAGATTAGTTCTTGTTTACAGAACCAAAACTATTGTATGTTGATTTCTGTACTTTTATTTTTTCTTTATTCATGCCTTTTTGGTTCATTTAAGCAGGAAAAGATTATAAATTATTGAAACAAATAATAAAATCTTAATTTAGATTAAAAATATGCTATATAAATTAATATTTTCCGAAATTAAAATACATGCATGAAATTAAAGTTTGACAGATATAGGTACAAAAAGTTTGTCTTAATAATGCTAGAAATCATTTTATTTTCGAGAAAAATGATTGTTTTCGAAAGAAATTTCTTTTTGATTTAAGCATTAAATTTATGTAATATAAACTTCATTTCATATTAAAAATTATGATTTAGATATGGATATTTTTCAAAAGGAAAGAAAGTTTTCTAACTGTGAAAAAAAGAAGAAAAAAAAAAAAAGAAAAAGAAAAAAAAAACATTGTCTGAACACGATACTTTGAAAATATATATTTCTTGTAACATATTGCATCATATCCTCTGAGGTCAATGAACTTGGCATATTTATTATTGTCTTATAACGTGCTTGCAGGTCATTAGATTCCTTTTTTTATTTTCAAAATAGCCGGAAAGGGGCCTACATTCGGTCACCTTTGTCTAGATATTTTCTCTTTTATGATGAACTTAAATTTCAAGACCTATCTTTACATCAAACTTTATATGAGCTAGTCACGTGATTCATATATATATATATATATTATTGTAAACAGAAACATTTTAAAAATATTATTATTATTATTTAATACAATATTATTTTTATTTAATACATGATCCCTTTTAAAAGTCATAACAATTTTTAAAAATTAAGGATTTGTTTAACAAATGTATTTAAAATTTTGAAATATATGTCCTAAAATAAATAAATAGAAATAAATACATATTTTATTAAATATAATTACGCTTATAATAATGTTTAATCATTATTATTTTTTAAAAATAAACTGTCATTTAAAAAAAATTTATCGGATTATTTTTAATATACTTTTTATAATTATTTTTTTACAAGCAAAAACCAACAGTTTAACAATTATCATGAAACAGTTGAGAAATAATAATTATATATTTTCTAAAACATGATTAGTTCTATAAAAAATAATTTCAATATTACTTAATTATCAGTTTTTTTGAAGACTTTATTAATTATAATTATTGAACTCAAAATTGCACGAAATTTTTCGGTTCTTAAAAAAATTATTTTGTTGCCACTTACCATTGTGGAATAAATAATAAGTAAAATATTTTCAAGCGTAAGCATTTTTAAATGTTTTTGACTGACGCCTCTGACGTCAATTATGCCAGTGTATCCTGCTACTTGAGTTGCTGGATCTTCGATACTGTGGATGACACAATGTGTTGCCACCCACATCAGGAGATCGCGGTCCACCTTTTCGGGATCCCATTGACCTACAAATAAAGATATTTTGAACTCAGTTTTGTATATAGTTCTTAATTTAAATATTACAATTTTACGAAGCTATTATTTAATATTTATTGGTTGGATAAAAATTATAGTAATCGATGCTGATGTACAGGATGCCAAATGAAACATTTTCAAAATTGTATGATATACAAATTTTCAGTTTATTCTAATATACGTTATTTTAAATGATAAAATACAAGATGTAGACGTAATTGATCTATCTTGATTTGCTTTTTAAAAAAATATTAAAGAAAGTAGAAATATTATCATCTTAATAAAATCAGGAAAAGACGTGTTTGACTAAAATATTATTTACAATTTTTAAATAAACAATCAAAAATATAACAATCAATATTTTTAATAACGGTAAATGGTTTGATTAAAAAACTTATACGACTGAAAATTTCCCCTTTCCAAGGAATATTTATGAAATTTAATCATTTTCTTAAAAAAAAAAAAAAAACATAAAATTTCAAACGGCATACTAATAGGTTTCGCTTCTCTGTCCGAAAATAATATGAAAGATCTTATTTAAATATTTTTGTTTTATTGCTTTGAGTTTTAATTTTTATATTTTTTCATTAATAAATTTTAATTTCCATTCTTTGAGATTTAATGTTCGATTGCTCTATATAGATTTGAAAAATTCTTACATATATATAACAGAGCAATCAATTTTATTCACTTAATTACGTATATATTCCGGCAAAAAGGAATTCATTAAAATTAAAATTTAAAATAAATCCATGCTCATCTTAACGATGAGAAACAGCGTGATTTGTTTTGTGTGTTGCTGAGAATTTGAGCAAATTATATGAATGGAATAAAAAAAAATAAATTAAATGCTTTTTTTTTAAGTTTTCTTATACAATAACTACATACAAAAATTGTCAATTAAAGTATGACATAGCATTTCAAATATTTGGAACAGAACTATGCGCATCAATACTGTTAAGTATGCAAAACATTTCCTGAATAGTAATTGCTTTTTGCTAGACACGAGTAGTAATCTAAACAAAAACAAAATGTCTTATCTAAAAAAGATATGGCTGAAAGAATTAATTCATTCTTATCACGTTTTAAAAACCAGAAAAGAATATTGTTTTGTTTTCTTATTTGTTTTCACTTTTATGGTGTTAATGGCTCTTACTCAACGCTTAACTCTATTGAGCGTTACAATTTCTGCAACCCTGTATCAGTTACATCAAAAATTTAAATTATTTTAATAACGCGGTTGTATTGAAAGTTTTATTGTTAATGTATAATTGGTTTTGAAAGCGAAATTGAAAAATATTACGACCTTATGAATTTTTTTAAAGCTATGTGATGCCTTTATAGGAATTACATGTTTCCTAGATTTTAAAGTTTCTTTAATTTTAAAAAATTAATTTTTCAATCATTCTAATTTTTGTTATAATTAAATTAAATTAATTATTAAATTTTTGTCATATTCTATAGAAAGCGATGATAAATAATTTTATTTTTTTTCCTTGACAATCAATGTAACAGTTAACTTTTGAATTCAATACAAGTAAATAACTCTTCATTGTCGTGACAAAACCAATATCAAAATAAATTTTTAACTTTAGTTTTCTTTAAGCTTCTTCATTCGATACAAGTGAGCAACTCATTAATTCGGTGTCAACACAAATCGAATATCAACATTTTTAACTTTAGTTTTCTTTAAGCTTCTTTATTCAATACAAGTGTGCAACTCATTAATTCGGTGTCGACACAAATCGAATATCAACATTTTTAACTTTAGTTTTCTTTGAGCTTCTTTATTCAATACAAGTGTGCAAGTCATTAATTCGGTGTCAGCACAAATCGAATATCAACATTTTTAACTTCTTTTTATAGATAATTTATTCCACACAAGTGTATAACTCATTAATTCAGTATCGCGACAAATCGAATATTAAGATCAATTTTTAACTTTATTTTTCTTTAAGCTTCCTTATTCGATACAAGTGTATAAATTCAGTAATTCAGTATCGCTACAAATTGAATATCAATATCAATTTTTAACTTCTTTTTTCATCGAGCTTTTTTATTCAATACAAATGTTTTCAATGCTTTTTTATTCAATACAAATGTTTTCAATGCTTTTTTATTCAGTACAAATGTTTATTAATTCAGTGTCATGACAAATCGAATATCAAAATCAATTTTTAACTTTATTTTCCTTTAAGCTTCTTGATTGAATACAAATGTTATAATTCATTAATTCAGTGTCGCGACAAATCGAATATCAAAATCAATTTTTAAGTTTATTTTTGGTTAAGCGCCTTTATTCAATGCAAATTTTATAATTAATTCAGTGTCGTAACAAATCGAATATCAAAATCAATTTTTAACTTTATATTTCTTTAAGCTTCTTTATTCAATACAAATGTTATAGTTCATTAATTCAGTGTCGTGACAAATCGAATATCAAAATCAATTTTTAACTTAATTTCATTTAAGCTTCTTTATTTAATACAAATGTTATAATTCATTAATTCAGCGTCACGTAAAATCGAATATCAAAATCAATTTTTAACTTTATTTTTCTTTAATCTACTTTATTTCTTTAACCACTATAGTGGTTCGGTTAGAAGATTATATTAAATTCTTACGGCTTTTCTGTGATAAGTCAGATTATTTATAATTTAATATTAATAACGCTGGATTAGCTTTATTTTTGGCTATATTATCTATCGATAACTTGTTACATTTTTACTCTCTTCCAATGCCCTTAAGCTTCCATTAGTAACTATGCATTTATTGGGTGAACTTCTTAGAGCTAGAACTAGGGGGGGGGGGTTGGGTGTCTGATGGCCCCTCAGTCTGACAGTACAAAGTCTTGTTTATCCGAAACCCTTTAATCCAAATACCTCTGTTAACTGAATTCGATTTCGATTTTTTTTTGTTTCTTTTAGCGTGCCTATTTAGCATTTTTGGTCTGCATGTTTATATTTTTTATCGTATTTTCCCTTAAAAATGAAAAGAAATTTACATTTTATTGCATGACTATATAGAATTGGCCATTTAATATGAGTAGCAAGTAAACGCGTTACTAGTTATTGTGGTTGCTTTGCAGATATGGGCAAATACCAAGATTTTGGTATCAGTTACGAATTGATATTAAAAAAAAACTAAATATAGTTATAGAAAGGAGATAGTTTATTTATAAGATGCATATCAGTCTCAATTTATATCTTAAAAGAAGAGGTGAAAATTTTTGTAAGAAATTTTTACAGTAATATTTACTTAATTAGAGTAATACAGTGATTTTATGGTACTTATTACAGTAACAATTATGGTATAACAGATTTTTTGTACCGTAACCTGTTCCGGTAAAAATGCATCTTAAATGCACAGGTGTAAATATGGGCACCCCTCCTTAGTGACTATGGGAGGTACTGAAGACTGGTGGCGAGGACTGTAGATGGCGCCATTTGCTAATATAAGATAGTAGAGAGCAGTGTGAACCATTCTTTTAAGTAGTGTGGATGCAGCGTGAGTTTTTTGAGTAAATCGGTGTTTATTCTGGATTGCAAACTTTTGAGAGGCATGTGAAATCGTTTTCTTTTCATGTACTTATGTTTAGTTAAAAATAATTTCACAGTGATATCCGGAAAGCGGAGATCTTAAGCAACTTTTTGAAGCACACCTTTAGTCATGCATGCTTTTAGGTTACATGTGATAGTGGCCATCTTTTTTAAGTGGGATTGGTGTAAATATGGGCCCCCATTTAAAGGGTTCTCATAATTGCACCACCTTTTTTAAAACAACAAAAATATTTTCAGTAAATTTTTACGCGAAACAGCAAGACCCAGAACAAACATGACCCAAGTTCAAATGAGAGGATGTCCTGATGGTGCAATTGGTAGAGTTCATCATTCAGGATGGGTTCAAAACAATTTGTTTTCCGAATGGTTCACTCACTTCATTCATTCCTACTGAACAAAGGACTGTTCTACTCATCTTAGATGGTCGAAATCCAGACGTCATTGACTTGGCCAGAGATAACCACGTGAAAATCCTTCAGAAGAGAACCACTATTCGTGGACGCAAAGCAGCAAGGTCCAGGCCTCATCACCATACAAGAATCAGTTGACCAAGTCGCTTGACAAAAGTGCTCTCAAGAAGACGTCCTTGAGTTTTCCCGGGGTAAGAGACCGGCTAGGGGGCAGGGATGGGAAGAAGAAAGGCCTTCACAAAAGGAAATGCAACGATACGATTCATCGTCGGACTGTTCTCTGAAGACACTCGGGAGAGTGAAATGTGTTATGTGCGAAATGTCGGCACACTTAGATTGTGCCGAGGCTGAAATAGCCAGTTATGCTTGCGATTTCTCTAAATAATTTTTTTTTTTACTGTACCATTTTGTAATGTTTTATCCTGTTTTTAAACTATTTTTGGTAACTTTTTTCAAATGAAATAATTGATGTTAATCATTGTTTCGCCTTCTCGCATTTAGGAAACTTGTTATAGTTGTTAATGAAAGACAAAAATCTAGAATTTTTCAAATTGAAAGTAATTTTATCAAAAAAACAAAAGAGGGTGCCCATATTTACACCTTTACCTCTATAATAATATGCATAGCTGATGCTGTAAATGCTAAAAAAGACAGTAACAGTCTAAATTATGATGACTATGTCATTTAAAACAAGATCCATAATTATAATAACCGTTTTATTTACAGTTATTACAATTATGGATTGAATTATGGTACCCTCATAACAGTTGTAACTACTCAAATTGTTATGGTTCTTGAAAATCGTACCATTATTTTTTTCCCAGCATTTATCTCTAATATTTAACAAAGAAAGAAGATTTCAAAGATGGCGCGGTTTTAGTTAACAATATAATAGCACTTTCTTAAACTATTTATTATGTAACACTCATTTGCATATTAATTGTTACGAAACACGTATCCTTGCTTGATTACTCACGTGTAGTGTAAAAATTTCCTTAAGTTTGTTATTGAACTTTTCGGATCAAAATTTTTTTTTACACTCTCAAAAATGTTTTTTACATATACTCGAAGTTTTTTCTTGTTTAAAAAAGCAATGCATTGCACGATTGGTTTTGTTTTACTTTAACTATCATTTTTTTGTTAATTCTCTCAACAAATTAGATAATAGCTGTTATTGTAACCCGTATTTTTCATTGTTTCTTTCATGATACCAAATCACACGATTTACGTGAAAATAATATAAAAGTTTGGCGTTTAATTAATGTTCTGTTAATTAATGTCATTAATATTAAATTTAGGAGAAATTTCTTTTTTGAAAGAATTACTACTTTAGAAATTTAGAGACGGACTGATTTTACTCGATTCCCATGACTTGTAATCTGATTCAGAAGTTATATATTTAAAAGGAAATTTTTTTTTCAAACGTTTTTGATTTTTTGTTTATATTAGAGATGAATTGATGCTTGTCGTAATAGAATAAATTCCATTTTATATCATATTGGATTCCATTTGTAATAGAATCAATTCCACTAGCTGACTCAAGTTTGAGACTATTTTCTTACATTAGAAATGATTCAAGACTTATTGTTATAGCATTAATCCCCGGTATGAGCATCCATGAATTCGAAATTCAGATCAAAATTAGCAAGCACTTTCCAACGTTTTTTTAAAAAAAATTATTAATTCCAGATGAGTTTAAGTTTGCTTGCTAAAGAATTGATTTTGTTTTACAAAGAGAACTCATAAACCGAATTTACTCGAGCCTGTTAGCAGGAAAACTCTTTTTAGCAAAGTTTTTTAAATTTAGAAATAAGTTTTGGCTCATTTTTAACGGACTGATCTCACTCAATCCTTATGACTTGTGATCCTAGTCAGCTCAAACCTACATTTCAATAGGATCTAACCTGTTTTGTACGAATGAGAATTGTTTGGGTCTTAGATTCGCGATTGCTAGTCTATGTTAACAAGGCGAAAGAAAAATGTTAAAATTTCGGTACTGTACAGTAATGATAATTCTGGTAAAAAAAAAACCATAATTCAGGAAATGGGAAACAAAATATACGGTATTTGAACCGTTTATTTGATAATATTTCTGTTGTTATCGTAACGGTCTACCGAAAATTCTGATTTTCAAAATTATAGTTCTATTACCACAGATTTAAGTAAAAAATACAAAACTGAAAATTAATATATAATGATTTTTATGCCATAAATGATTTTAATACCATATTGTAAAGCATATTACTAGGAAATTTTACCACATTTATTAAATTTTATCACGCATTATAAAACTATATTTTATTGTTATTTTGGTTCCAAAATCATTACAAAAGCACTTAGGTAAAAATTATTATTTTTTGGCATTCTCATAGAGACAGAAAAATTGCAAACTTCGCCATATTTTGTCAGTTTTCTTTATTCTCTCGAAAAAGTTGTCATCAAAATTTTTATTTCACTGCATCAAGGAAAAGAGTAAGAAAAGATAATAAAGTCAGAGCCGAGGCATCAATTTGAGCTACCCAATTAGCCTTATTTTAAATATTGTTTTAGCGAAAGAAGAATTTTTATATTTTCAGGATTAAATTTCTTTAAAAGTAATATGCTTAGTTAATTTTCATGACAAGTAAATTCGTATCTAAATTTTTCAACTGCTCATAAAATATTTACGCAATTTTCTATATTATGACAAAATTTACTTCTTATATAAGACTTATTCTCAAGCAAATTTTTTGAAATCATGATAACAAATTAAGTACAGGTTTGTCCTTTATAAATTACTAGATGTAACATCAGAAGAAGGAAGATGGGTTTACCATTTTTTGATTGCTACGCAATCACGACCATGGTACATCTTAGTGGTCATTGTTGAAGTTTTTCTTTATAGTCAGCCTTTGTGCAGGTTTAAGTGCTCATTACAAAGTGCAGGTTTAAGTGCTCATTACAAAGATGTCTTTAGAGCAATTGTCAAGTTGAACAGATAGAACAAATTGAAAAGGCGCATGACATCCACGGCCATGGCGGGTTTCGAGCCCACTACTTTCATGCTATAATGCATTTGGTGGGTCTGCGAGACTCCTTTAGCTAGGGGGCTCCCTGAGTGCGTCGTATTTTTGTGTAGTTTTTTCTTTAAATTTTTACATCAGACCTACATTTGATTCCGTTAACACCGTAAAAAATTAGGATCCAATTCCGGTCAAAAATACCGGCAATTGCCGGAACTTTTTACTGTTAAAATCCATTTTTACCGGAACATGTTACGGAACAAACAAAAACAGCGCTTTTTCTTGTTTTCCAGTGGAGCTATCTATGGCCTAAAATCTGACTTCTACCACACGTACTTCACAGCCCGTATATAAGGTGGACCCATTCATTCCTCCACAGGTCGTAATTTTGACCTGAACCAGAGAAAGATTATTGTCCGATTCAGTACCATTAGAGATATGATTTGTTATGGAAAAATGGAGGACTTGGTGACTAAGCAGATTTAACGTGCACCGGTCACCATTTACAACGCTACCATATACAGAAGTCTTCTACAGGTGGGGATCGAACTCAAGACGTCTTGGACACGTGTCCAATGCCCTACCAACTAGGTTATCCTAGACATTTTTTCCCTTTAAAATTTAGAAGTAAACAATGCTTAGGCAAGTATGATAATCAAGTTTAAAAAAACATCTACTTACCCAATTTAACAACAAATATAGCACTTCCATTTTTGGCCCTATGAGGTAGAAATCCTATGAAATTTTGCTTAAAGACTTCATGAACTATACTGTTGTCTGGAGAATCGTAAAAGCTTTTCTTCATTCTCAGTTTGTAAGTGTTCTGCATCATTTTGAAAGCCCGGCTCACATCAAATTTTTTTCCTCTAAGGTAGGCTAGAAGACAGCTATCATCGGTTCTGACGTAAAAATTCTTCTCGGCTGTTAAAAAAAGAAAATTCGTGTTTAAAATTTATTAATTAGACTTATTAGATAAATTTATTTGATATTATTATTAGTTAAACTCATTTGATATTACCAAAAGTTAAACCACTGTTGGATTTCAAAGCTTAAAGAGATTTTGTTTTATTTTTAAGAATATAGAATTTTGTTTCAAAGAGGGAAAATAATACAGATTGTTTTTTTTTTCGGTAAGTTAGAGGATTAATAACAGAAAAAGCTGGAAAAAAAAGAGGAAATCGTAGAATAGAACAGTTAAAAAACGACGACTTCTGGTTCATTATTCCGTTTTGCTCTTTTTAGTGAATAAATATCTATGCAGAGAAAAAAAATTGCTAAAATTATTGTCGAGTGTTAATGACATTTCTGGTAAAAGAAAAACAAAATAATTCTAATAAAATAATTCTGGTTAATGAAAAAACTAAAATGTACTAAATGAATGGTTTAATTCATTTATTAATTCTTCCGTTCATTTAGTAACGGTTTAAAAGAAATTCTGGTTTTTATAATTATAGTTCTTATAACCATACATTTAGTAAAAAAATACAAACGTGAAGAGTAAATTTAACCGAATAAATGTTTTTTATGCCATACTTTAAGATATAATGATAAAATTACAAAATTTAATTATATGTTTTAAAACATTATTTCATTGTGCATCTAAACCAAATCATTACTAAATCGCTACGTTAAGAATTACAAAGCTTTTTGGTGCTCCCCTAGAGCCATAAACAAAACAAATTTTACCATATTCCGGTAGTTTTGACAAGACTTTTTTTTTCGCAGTGTAGAAAACGCTGGAAAAGAGAAAATTGCCCAGAAAAAGAAGAAAATGACTGGGAGAGCGATTAAAAAACACAATGACTTTATTTGCTTACAGTTTTTGTTTATTTCATTTATTAATGAAGAAATATCTAATGATATTATTTATAAACATTTAGTTTCTTACAATATTTTTTATTTATTAGCAATAAAAACTGTGCTTTTATTCGTTTCCGAAAATTCAAATTTCGTTTAAAAAAATTTGAAATTTTAATTTTAAGAATTAATTTTTGTTTTTAGGTAATTTGATTGAAAATGGAGATTGAAAATAGAGACAACTGCAAATTACAACTTCTAGTAGGTGAAGTTTTATTCCATTTCATTTTTAGAGAAGATGTATCGAATATTATTATTTTATTTCTCTTTATAACCGACGATGAACAACCGATCTAATTATGAGTTTACGACCATCAATTTTTAATTCCGTAGCCTTATAATTTTGATCCCAACCCAGAAGACAGGAGGACAGCCTGGAGCAAGCAAATTAGCTTTCATGGGTTACTTTTTGACGGAACTAACAGAAATTTCCGTTACATGAAGAAGAAAATCTCGTAAACCTCCCATGGTTAGATTGACGGCAAGGGGCTCTAACCAATGATCAGTCTACCACTGAGGATATTTTATGTTAGCACCGTGGCTAGTGCGAGCCGAGAACAGAGTTCAACTCCGTAGCCTTGTAATTTTGAACCCGATTCAGAAGACAAAGGAACTCCTGGATCAAATATAGTGAGATATTTGTCTTCGTGGAGAACTTTCTGATGGAACTAACCCGCATTTGCGTTGAATGAAGAGGACGACCACGAAAGTTTCCCATGGTTAGCCTGATGTAAAGGGCACTTTAATCCCTGATCTGTCTATCACTGAGCATTTTTTACGTCAGTACTGTGGTCGGTGCAAGCCGGGTGCGGAATTCAAATCAACCAGCAACCATTGGAATTCAAACTCGGATCACCTCATTAGAAAGTGAGGGCTCTATCCCCTGAGCCACCGTGGTTCTAATATTATTACTTGTAAACATTTAGTGACTTTTTTTTAAAATTATTAATATTATTTCTATTCATTAGCAGTACAGACAAGTGCAAGTTAAATGGCATGTTTTAACAGTGACTGTCTGGCAAAATCCTTATACTTATTTTTTTTTTTAATTTAAATTTTTTTTTTTACATCTGGAACTTCTGCTCTCACTTTTTTTAAGCTCAGCACTGAAAATAATATTTTAGAATTTTTTGTTTTGTTTATTTCAAGCTTTCCTAATTATGATTTGTTAAACACTCAAAGAAGTTATTCATAATAGGGAAGGACCTTAAGTGGCGTATGGCGATCTTTTTTGACATGGATTCCAATGTTGTTATATTTCTGACGTATGCTCTAATTTACTTAGAAGTTTGTCGCAAGTTGGCGTTTTTAAATTTGAACATTTCCGCAAAAAAAAGACCAGAAATGTCATTTTTGAAGAAATGAAAATAGCAACCTTTAGGAGCAAAACTAATTTTAGATTTGAAATCTCCTCACCCGAATTAGTTAAGATCAAGTATTTGTTTAAAAGCAACCTCAGTGTAAACAACTACAACAATAACAGGTTAATAAAATGACATCAGAAGGATTAATTTGATATTGAAAAAAACCATCACAATTTTAAATTTATATAGAATAAAAGATAGTGCTCAGAAAAAACTATTCCAAAACGAAAACAGTAAATGAACTGAAAACGAAAATTTAAGATAGCGTAAAAAAGGTAGATCATCATATTCAAAGATGAATCCTACCTTAATAAATAAAAAATATATCAATATTCTGTGTCATAGAAAAGTTTGCAGTAACACAATACTTCAAATTAAAGTTCTGATTGGCATAAATAGACTTACAATAATAATCACGAATTACTCAACTTTCACAAATAGCTTAGGGCAATGTTTTGTTCTAATTATTCTTCAAATCATAATACACTTCCTATAAAGCTCTCAGCAGGTGTCACTTCAATCAAATTTATATAATACGTTATAGGTGTCAATTTTCTATCATCAAAGATGCAGCAATGTATACTTACCAAGTCATCTGGTTAGACAAATGGAAAAGAAAGATTTTTATTTATTTGCTTTACAAACAATATTGCCGATTTGTAAGCATTAATCAACCCTGGGAGAAAAGAAAAGTTTAATTTAAGAAAAAGAGAAAGTACTTTCAAATTCTAGGTTGTTTTTTTTAGAGTTTTAAGTGTTTGATGTGATAATGACATTAAAGTGACATCACGTGGTCTTTTCTAAATCAATTTTTACCCATTTTTACCATTTAGTTCAATGAATTTGCATTTTTTCACTCCAGTTTCGACCAATATTCTATTAAACTAGTATTCAATTCTAGATATCTATTTATAATCTAAAATACGGTAATATAAACTTATTAAGTTTAAAAAATGGAATGATTTTATTATTTTATTTACAAACATTGCGTCAACTTGTAAGCATAAATCAAGTCTGAGGAAAGAATGATTTAAAAATTTATGAATAATTTTCAAAAAAAAAAAATATTAGTAATAATCAAGAAAATAAATAAATAAATAAAATAATTAAATAAATAAGTAAATAAATAAATGAGATAATAAATAAATAGGACAAACAAATAAATAAATAAATAAAAAGAAAATAAAAAAATAAAGAAATAATATAAATTAATAAATAAATAACATAACATAATATAAAATAACATACCATTAAAAAGTTTTACACACAAAATCTACATTAGAGGTTTTTAGGGTTTTTTTTAACTATTGCAATGTTTGTATGTGTTTGATGTTAGGAACTACTCTAACTGATAAATTTCATTCCTTCATGTAAAACAACTTCTATGATTTGTAAAATATTAGGGCAATATTAGTTTGCTTAAAAAAATGCTTTTTGAATATTTTCTCAGGAACTATTTAACCGATTGTGTTCAAACTTCAGATTTTAGCATTAAAAGGGTGCAAAAATATTTTAATTTGCATTACGAGTTCAAGATATACAACAAAATAAGCATAAGTTAAACTGATATTCAGGAACAGAAACTTTCGCTTAAAATAACAGTTAAATATCTTATGTCTCCTAGAGTCTAAAATTCAAATCAGTAAAAAAAAAGTGTTAACTGCAACTTAATTCTAAAGCGTTGTTCTTAAACGAGCGTTTTTTTTAAAACTAATAAAATTTTTTCTCCCTTTTCCTAAACGCTTTCTGTTTGTCAAGTGATTTAAATTAGGAACCTTTTTTTCCTTAATCATGTTAATTGTGTTTGTCGAAGATCTTAAGGCAATATTCTAATTCTTTAGGCAATGTCCGTAAGTGTAACATCGCCTCATTTCTTTTACTTTGTTTTCAATTTTTTGTCGAGTTAAAAAGCAAACGGTTGAAGTTATTATTTTTATTTTATACGCATAAAAAATCAAAGAATGGAAGAGAAAGTCAAGTGTTAGCTTCAGGTTTTAAAATGATTCATATGTTTATCACGGAATATAGCGTTCAAATCTTTAGATAAATGATTTTGAGTTAGAGCATGAATAAAAATTATTTTACTAAAAAATAAAAATGTAAATAGAGAGTAACGGTTTGGAAAGTACATTTATTTTGTAAGAAAAATGTTCTATGCATTTTTCTATGAAGTAAATATATTATATTTATCCAACATGATGAAGATCTTCTTTATGGAAAGATTTTAATTTAATCATTTTAATATACTGCGTATTTTTTTTAATTATTTTTTTTCAATTTTGGAGATATTAAGAAGGGAAAGTAATGAGTGAATGTATCTCCATGAGCTCGAAGTGAAAGAAGGCTGCATGCGGATTTCGTGTCTAAAAGTGACAAGGTTACAATTGCATTTTGCATTTAACGAGTAACTTTAGTAAACCGTTTTTTGGTTGCAAATTTGAATGGTGAGACTGAAAACGGTTTGGCGCAAACAGTTTAAGTGAGTTCTAGGGATATTTAGATAAATTTCTTCGAGTAGTTGGTTGCTGACAAGAAATTAAAGTTAGGCAAAATATTTATTTCCTATTGCCAACACACGAATTTTAAAGCTAAATATACTCCAATTCACTGATATATCACAACCAACTCTTCTATTCCATCAGTTTTTTGTAAAGAGTCTTATTCTATGAATATGCAAGTGCTGGAAGAGTACGGTTTTGTAAAACAGATTTAATTAACTTAAAAAGAAGTTTTCTTCTAATAAGTTAGCATCTTAGGGATATTTAGATAAATTTCTTCAAGTAGTTGGTTGCTGATGAGAAATAAAAGCCTGGCAAAATATTTATTTCCTATTGCCAACACACGAATTTTGAAGCTAAATATACTCCAATTCACTGATATATCACAACCAACCAACTCTTCTATTCCATCAGATTTCTGCAAGAGTTTTATTCTATGAATATGCAAGTGCAGGAGAGTACGTTGTAAGACAGATTTAATTAACTTACAAAGAAATAATCTTATAAATAAAAGATTTATACATCTACACCCAGAAGGAGCAGTTTTACAATAATCAAGGCGTTACTAAGAATGATCTAATTTTATGGCGTTATTAATTACAATATGAACTTAGACAAATAGGGCAATGATAATTATGATTTTTAGAACTAATTATCTTTTATTATTCGTTGCTTTTTATGTATCGGCACCTGTTTTATTATGTACTGTTTCGAATTTATGCCTGATTGTTTTCATAGGACTGTAACACTAATTGTTAGAGTTCAAAAGTTTAAAATTTTGAATGAATAATTTTTCAGTTATACGCAGGAAATTATATTTTCATACCTATCGAGTTCTGTTTTATTATTGTTGCCTTATTTATTACAACTGCGATATTACTAATCGGTATATAAATTTCAGTATTTGAAATGCTGTACAAATACAGCAAAAAAAATCTGGATTAAATTACAGCAACGAAATTATTGTACAAAATACAGCAATAAAATCCGGATTACAAAATTTTTTCTTGATTAAATTACGGTAAAAAGTACTTAAGGTACCGTTACTTTTTACCATAATATCCATTTTTACAGAAACATGTTATTAAACAAAAAATTTTATATACTGTAATTTTTATAGTAATAATTATAGTAAAATTGCTGAATACCTCTAATTAATTAAATATTAATGTAAAGATTACGGCATAATATTTTAGGTGGAAGGTATCATATATTTTATGGTAAAAATGTATTTTACGGATGATGCACCCTTTCTCCTGGTATTTAAACCGTAATTTGATCCAGAAATTTTTACAGTTTAGCTTTTGATTGTTAAGGGTATTTATATTTCAATAAAAAAATTATTTATTAGTATCTTTCTTATTACATGTTATTTTTATTTCATTATTACCTTTCTTACAAAACAATAAGGTGTTTTTGAGGCTGTTTTGAGGTTGACAGATTTCAAAAACATACATCTGAGATTAAAAATAAGGTTATGTTTTGCACTAAAAATAAACTCATTAATAAACCTCAATTTCAACCTCATTTACACCACACAAAATCAACCTTATATATAACTCGGAAATAGTTATAGTTAAATCGTGTGAAATTATTCACACCTCAAACATGCGTATTTGCTTGAAGTGTTGAAAATATAATCCGTACGCTTCAGAAACAACCTTCCTTAGCTGGTTGCTCTAAAGTAGGTTTCCTTCAACCTCAAGTGTGAATAAAACAGCTTTATATACCTTGATTATACACCATGGGAGGTTGATTTTTTTAAGGTTGTTTTTGAAATCAACTTTGAATCAACCTCAAATCAACCTCAAAAATACCTTAAGTTTCTGTAAGGGCTGACTTATCTAAACTGAAATATTAATTACAATCAGACTAGAAACAATGCAATATTTATTAATATCTTAGTTATACAGTTATATATTAATTTCCTATGATAAATAATTTCCGTGTTTATAATATGACATACGATTTCAGAGAAGGTTCTGCATTACCTTTGTCAGTAGCGTAGGTTTTTTTAAAATTTTAATTAAAAAAATCTTTTTTTATCAAAACATATTTGATTAGACACTGCTTTTCGATACACCGCTATCGGATTTATTGATGAAGAAATATTATAAATTTAAGTTGTGAAAAAGAGGTATTTAATAACTTTTGATAGTTGCTCTCGGGATTATGCAAATTTCAACATAAAAACAGATATAAACATCTGTTTTATTGCACACTTTTTCTAACTCACCTTTGCTTGATTAATCGACGGTAAAGCTCATTGTTACTAAACTAATTATAATTTAGATACTAAAAAAAATAATTAGGACTCGATATGAAAACTTGTGAAGACGAAAAAAACTAATACGCAATAAATATTTTGGATAACTAATATTTGGATATTTGGAAACTAATACGTAATATTGTTAGATTTTCACTGTCGCGAAATTACAAAGAAGTCAATCAAAATCGCGTTATAATTTATTTTAAAATACCTAATTTAACTACTTTTAATTTTTGTATGCATACCTGTTTTTTGCACATCATACATCAACTTCAACTGATTATTAGATTTTGATTTTAATTAATTTGTCCATTCGCTTTTCTAATATCCAACTATACAAGGCCATTGTTTTAAATACGCCTTTTGATTTTTTAATAATAAATTTTATGTGCAATACAATACCAATTAACACAATTAAAAAAGCGTATTTTTAGGAATTTTTTTAAGAAAAAAGTTTTATTGTTGAAATATAATTAAATGTTTTATTATTTTTTGCCTTATAATAATTTGAGTTAATTTAAATAATTTGAGTTAAGTGAAATTCATATTTTTAAAAATAACTGAATGAATATCAAAATAAAATTCAAAGTTCTTGAATGAATAAAAAAAGGCTTTGCATTCACATGTACACTGTTAGAATTTTCATTCTGAAATTACGGTAAAATAGCTGGCAGCAGTCTGTTCATCCAATAAAATATGAAGTTTGCAGTTAGATGTATTATCGTTTGAGCATTTCTTATCTTTACGGCTTTGAAACCATTTACAATTAGTATGGTTAAAAACCATAAATACAAAACTATACAGTTATTTAAAACATTATCTGGTTGTTTCACCTATTGTAAGAGATGGGAAATACTAGACTTTTTCGAGTTAAGCAGCCTTATGAAATCGCCATCAATGCATGAATGAGAGTATCTTATTCTAATAGCCCAGGGTCACAAATTGGGGAATGCATGACACTGGAAACTTTTTATGTGTTGAAGGGAATGGAAATATTGAGGTGTCAACGTTGGCCTGTCGGTCATGAGATTGACAGCTTAGCACTCTAGGCTAAAATATGTACCTAGTATAATATGTATATGTATTTATATATAATAATGTATAGTTATAGACATATATGTATGTAATATAGAATTTCTCATGCGAGTCTTTCTATATTAACTGATAAGCTTAAAAAATATGTNACTGGTAAGCTTAAAACATATGTTTCTTATCAAGTTTAAGATGTAGAAGTCGGTCTCTCACAAAGAGTCATAAAAAGTCAAGATGAACCAGATAAGGCCAGATAAAAGATTATTTTCTGAAGTTAATGGGCAATAATTCGTCGATGAAGTACACATTAAGATAGTCATAAAAACTTCCCAGAACCAGAACGGCGCTATCCTTTTAGCGAATCAGAATCTCTAAATTTTATCAATTGAATGACGTTTCATGAAGATAAGAAGATTCTTGCAACCACTCCCTCTCAGAACCTCCCTTTAAAATCTCGGGACAGCCAAAAATGCGTGTCTTTTTCATATTTTCCTGACTAGATAAATCTGTGCCAAAGCCAACCATCCCTGCAAGGGGGAAACCATCATTGTAAAGAGCCAACGAACACTGTTTTCAATACTCAATATAACGTAATAAAATGCCTTTTTAAATGTATTCGCCTAAGTCTCTTCATTTATCTAGCCTTTAAAGGTATAGCATTACATGTATATATAATATGTATATGTATAATATATACCTAGCTGCAAGGAATTAAGTGGCTTCATTAGCTGGGCCTAATGAGTTCAATAAAATTCCGGTTGTTTAGCCGTATTCGATGAAAGCAGCTAATAAATGGTAATTCTTACAGTTAATAGTTTAAATACCCTTTTATTTATGGTTGTTTGACTGTTTTGTCTCAATATGGTTCAATAATAACTAAATAAATTTTTATTTAACCATTTTATCTGAGAAAATTCTAACAGTGTATGTTGAAATTGCTAATAATTTAAGGTTTGGACTATTGTTAGTTGAAACTAGTGCGTCTGAATCTTACCTGTAATTAGTTTTCGAAACTTCTTAAGGCAAGCTTCTTTACGGTCATCAGTTTCTTTAAGCTCTTTCTCGGCCATTTCTTTTAGCTCATCATTCAAGAAACCCATGTAATATGGCAAGTGATCTTCTTTTTTATCATACTTTCTGTCCTTTTTGTTTCCTGGGATCGGAACATAGTTCTTATTCGGAAAACAAACTTCGTGAACAAGTTGAGTTGAGTTGTCTATAGACATTGCTACCAATTCCTTTCAATTGTTATTTAGATTTCACAACTGTAAATAAAGAATAAATTTATTAATAATGGACGAAATATGCAACATGATTAATTTAATAATTTTTATTTATAACTATTACCATGCTTTAAATGTAAGATTGATTTGAAGTGCATTAACATGCTAGATATAGAGATGTCAAAGTGATGTTGCTGAGTTACATTACTAAGTAGAATAAACCAATGAATTATCGTTTGCGCCATTGATATTGGTTGATTCATATTTACATCACAATAGAAATGTATTCATATTGGTTGTTATCTGTACTTATTAATCACTGGATTGCAAGTGGACAGATAAACTTCAGCTTAGACATCACTATAAGTTTTGTTTTCTCAAGCAAATATTGATTATTCCTAAACATTTAGTTCAATATTACATAAAATGTGATTATTAAATATATGGAAACATAATTTTATAGGTTCTGTGTTATAAAGAAATCTAAGACCTATAAAATTATTTAAGAACTGTTAGAACCAACTTAAAATTTCTGATTTTATATTGATAATTGCTGAATACTGATAATTCTGTGCAACAAGAAAGTGATTATTAATTTAAACTATTTAAATAAATTAAACTGACAGAATGGAAATAATAACAACAAAGACACGATTATAAGCCATTTAACTCAATCAACATATTAGGGAGACAATAAAATAATGTCGTTTCTTCGCATTAAATATTCGCTAGTCCTGACATTTAGTTCTTTTCACCAATTCATTTCTTTTTTATCCATTTCGATTCATTTTCGATCCGGCATTGAAAATTAGAAATGATGAATACATTATTGATTAAATATGGATTCAACGAGTATGAATACATTATTGATTGAATATAAAATCTTGATAACAAATATTAAATGCACCGAAACGTCATTTTTTTCCGGTCCCCCTATACTTTAATGACTGTTTGAACTAGGCGTCGTTCGTTAATATTTTAAAATTTAATAGTTGTAATTTCTGCCCTCTTTGACGCTTAATTAGAAGTGATAATAGAGAATAAATTGTTAATGTACCATTCTCGTTGCATCAATAATAAATTAACAATAATTCATTGATAATATTCCATGCTAAAGAATTATCAATGCAATGTAATAATATTTTAATAAATTGCTGAATATAAACTTCGAAGAATTATCTTTCTAGTAAGAAAACAATGAATACATTAGTTTTTAAATTTATCTCTATTTTAATTTTAATATTATTCAATAAAGTTCTTGGCAAAAATGCAGTCCAATTAAAAACAGCTCAAAAGTTGTTATTAAAGTAATTTCAATGACCAAAATCTTAAAATAACCAAAAATTACAGATTCAGAGTAGGTAAAAAATATAGAAAAAGAACGTAATTTACGAAAAGTCAGAAAATAATGTCAAAAAAAGGACTTAAAACAGTGTATAGAATTTTTAATACTTTACAGTTATGACTTTTTGTCAAAAATATTTGTTATAATATTGAACCAAATAGCAAAAAGTAATTCACAAATGATCAAGTTAACTTCGGAATTGTACAAGAAGTGAAATAATTTAACGTACTGATTCAATGTATAACTGATTTAACTTAGATTAGAAAATAAAGAAAAATGGCGGCACTCAATAAATTCAGAACATTATATCGAAGTAAAAGAAAAAATTACAACACACAGAGTTTAAATACATTAGAGAACCAGAATTCGGGTTTTCATTATTATGCAGAATGTTTTTTTAAAGAATCGTTATAATCCGACAGGTGAAAATCTGTAATTTCGAAGAAAATTGGAATTTATTTTAATATTATCCATCTTTAAACTTTATTTGATTATCTTTCCAAAAGTCTTTAAAATTTTCATCTTCGATTTTATAAAAAAGGAAATTGCAGTTCAGCATGCTGATAGACGAAACCGAAACCAGAAGTAAACTCTCGAAAAACGAAACTAAAATGTTTTTGTTTTACTTTAAATATTTCAACTCTCATTTATTTGAATAAATTATTTTTTACAAAAAATAAAATTCATTTTCAGAAATTAATTTTCGATTTATTAATTTTTTGCAGTCAGAATTTTCCTGCATTTTAAACGCATTTTCTTAAGAACGTTGATTTTGAGAAAATTTCGTTACGCTACATTACACAAAAAGTTTATTATGGAATTCTTTGAAATTTTGTATGTAGATTTTGTATAATGTTAGCAATGTTTTAAAACTAAAAGCTAAAGTGCAAGTTTCAATTTTTTCCTTTTATCAAGCTTTACTAAGTCTAAGTTTTCTTTAAAAATTCTAGATAAACAATATATTTAGCTCTATTTCGTTGTTTGTTTTAAAAGTGATTTTAGTTCAAAACACAAGTAATCATATCATTGATATAGTAAAGAAAATCATTTTAAAATTTATGCTTTACAATTTGTTGTAGAGCAGTTAGCGTGACATGAAAAATTTGTAGTTTTAAGCTCAAATTTGTTCTTTATTAAAAAATGCTTTATAAATTTTTAAAATAATTACTTTAAATTAATAATTTTAGGACCCCTGCTCACCAAAAAAAGGAATTAAAATTTTAATTCAAAATAATTTGTTTAAACTATCGGATACAAAAAACAAAATAATCACCATTAAATCAATGAAATCGGATCAAAATGATTCAAAAATTATGAACAAGTCAATATCGAAGTTTTGCAAAAACTAAAAACATCTATAAAATGCAGAGTTAGGGTGAAATAGAAAATGTAGAAAAATGACGGTTTCGGCAAAAAGTTTGAAAATTGTGATGAAAATAAAGGAAAATTGGTGCTTAAAATACTTTTTAAAATTTGGAAAATACAAAAATTCGTCTTTTGTTTGGGAGAAGAAAAAATTATCTTTTCTTTGTTTAAAAAATCAGCGAAAATAATAATTTTTTTGTTCTCTCCTTAACTCTTACATTTAGAATGCCAAACATTACAATATACTGCTTTCCTTAAAGATAAAACGTTTTTATGGATTTTTTTCAAAAATAAATTCAGGAAGAAATTCATTACATAAAAACATTAAATTAGAATGAAATCAATATTGCCATACATTATCTTTAGATATACATGATAAAATAGGACAACTGCTCAAATTAACCTGTCTATTTAGTAACAAAGAAACATTATTCTTTTCTTTTTTAAGTGACTCAGGAAGAAATAATTCCATATGAGTAAAAAAATGATACAACACTTTAAAATAAATCAGAAAAAAGAATCTGATCAACATAAATTACCTTTTTTCTTTTCGCCAAATATCATTCCAAATCTTCAGAAATAAATATTAATATTTCTTGCCGACTAGTTCCGGTGATTATAGCGATCTAACCAGCCGACAAGAAACTTTCATTTTTCTCGCGTTTATGCAAACACGTGCAGAGTTGTCTTTTTCCTCCTAGTGGACTCAAGAGAGCCAGTGGTCGTTCATAAGCAAGTCGGATCAGGAAATAAATTTTTTTTGTCATAGAGACGAGTTATTACTATTCTTCTCGCCTTTTTCCGCCTTAACCTCGAAATCGAAATGTCGTGCAGGAAAACTCTGGTATAAAGATTTTAATTTTTGAAAAATCTGAGTTTTTTTTTCTTCATAAACAATCAGTTTAAATGCCGCTGATTTTTTTAACTAACGTAAAAATGACTCATTGTTGAAATGATACATTGTTTGTAGAAAATGAATCCACTTTTTAAATTGACATTTTAATATGGAATGAAGAGGTAAAGTTTTCTGTTGATAGTATTCATATTATACACAAATACTTTTTTGTGTGAATAAATTATGAATTAAAAATATAAAGCAAATGCTTTCAACCATGTCATTGACTTAGCATACATTGAGGTATAAGAAAAATTTCCAGTTAACTATTGTGTCATTTGAAAACTAAATTTTTACAGAGTGTATAATAATAATAATAATAATATAATAATAATAATATAAAATTAATTATAATAATAATATAAAATTAATAATAATAATAATATAAAATTAATAATAATAATAATAACAATAATAATAATAATGTAAAATGAATAATAATATTAATAATAATAATAATAAAAATAATAATATAAAATGAATAATAATAATAGTAATAATAATAATATAATAATAATAATATGACACGATAATAAATTCCAGCTATTTATTTTTAATGTGATTAATTTTTAGTATTTGAAGCTTTGAAACTACACTGCTTTAAATTTTTGACTAGAATAATTTCTTTTATTAGAAATACGTTTGATTTCATATAGTCCCATAGTTTTTACTTAGAGGATTTAAATATTTTATTATATATCCAGAGATACTCAATGCTTTAGAGTTAAACGAGATTATCAAATTCTTCGTGAAGTTTCTAAACTTAAAAATAAATTAAAAAGCGCTCATAAAAAGTGCTTGGCATAATATAATGATAAGCCACATTTTCAGATTTCTTAGAAGAGCATTTTAAAGGAAAAACATTATCATTTTTGTGCCGGCAATGAGATGCTACTGTTAATTGTGCTGTTATCAAGTAAGAATTTGCGAAACTAATTATTAAGATAAACATTTACATAAAAAATTATTGGTTCGAAAAGGGAGTCAATATTTTTTGTTAGTTCGTTTTTAACACCATAATTTATTTTATTGCATAAAATGAAGTAACCAAAAAACATAGTATTTATTTATTTTTGTTATATATTTGTCAATTTTTTTAATTAATGTCCATTTTTTGGAAAGTTAAATTTTAAAACAAAAATACTAAATAGAAACTAATTAAATAAAGAAATAATTTCTATCGAAAAAGTTGTTAAAAGCCTTACGATGCAGATTTTTTATGAAAAAAAAAGATTGACAAATTAAGTATAAAGCGTTCCCACAACAGTCCAGTTTTATCGGTAAGGGTGTTATGGAGTTCAAGTCTTCACAATTTTGGGACTAAAGGGCACAAAGAGAACTATGTGATCAGCATTGCGCACCGACTACCTTTACTTCCAAGACAAGTAGTAACCCACCAATCTGATGGTAGTTGGGATTCAGGCCATTATATGGAATGGAACTATGATTCTATACATTTTGTAATTAACATTGTTTGTTTGTTTTTCAAAAATATCCTTAATTGTAGATTGAAAATATTAATAATTTTTTATGAAACATAAACAACCTAACTTCAGAAATAATTTGCATTGTAATTGCCATTAAAAAAAGATTATGATGTAGATGTCAATGAACTCTACCGAAAGAAAAATTGGCTACATTAATATACATTTCAGGGTTCGAAGTACGCCAGTCCTCGGCGGTCAAAAATTCCCCGTGGACAACGGATTTTTCGAATCCGACTTCCGCGCGGACGGCCATTTTCCCGTTTGTTCGTGATACATTTTCAATTTTTATTATCTTACAAGAGTCTAGCGCCTCACTTCTAAAATGACCCTCTAATCTCGAAATACAGCAGCATACTGCGCATGGTGGAATTGATGTTTTCTCTGCCTGGGAGTACTGCAGCGGTTGAAAGGAGCTTTTCAGCAATGAACTTACAAAAAAACACATCACGTACTGGTCTTAAACAAGAAGCGTTAAACGCAATTATGAACATCTACCTAAATGGAAAGCCCCTTTCAGATTTCTGTGCCGAAACCTCTGTAAATCATTGGCTTGATTGTGGAACTGGTAAGCGTCATATTTGATTCATTTAAAAAACGCAGTACCCTCGGATAAATTGACCTTGGTCATTTAAATTATTTTATAAATGAAATACTAGGTTACTATTAGTAACCTAGTATTTCTTTGATTACTGTATATTGTAATTCTAGTATTTGTAATCCTAGTAACTACTAATTCATTGTGCAATTTATATAAATGTTTGCAATAAATAAGAGAAAATTATATATTCATTTATTTAGAAGCTACGGGTTAGTTTCAAAGAAGGACGGGTAAAATTTCTGAGTTTTTTCGAGCCCTGATACATTTTACACGAAAAAATACTTAAATCTTCAGTGCGCGAAGAAAATAAACTGACCACCCTCAATAACTTTTGATTTAATGATCGGATCTTCACGTTTTAGGACACAATCTAAATGATTTGAGGAAGTTATTTTAAATATGCTAATTAATCAACGTAGACGATATTTTAAGTTATAAAATTAGATACCAAAACGTACTTTCTCTGAATAAACTTATGTTTTATTCGACCGAAATGTATTTCTTAACCTCAAAATATAGGGGGTAGTCACATTGTAGGAAATATTGTTCCTGCAGTTTGGGCAGGAGGGCAGTCCAAAGTTAGGACCGCTAAATGTTAAAATATTTTTTGCGTATTTCGTCATAACTAAACTTTATTTAAGTAAATCGAAAAATTGTACGCAATTATAAGGATCGTCTATCATCGTTAAGATATTAAACGATCCTTATAATTATGTGCAATCCTAATAATTGCGTACACAATTGCTATGCAAAACAACTAGTTAAAATAATTATTCATTTTTTTATTTAATAATAGTCGAAAGAACTTTGAATTGTAAATTATGCAATTTTTCACATCATTTTAAAGATTATAATTGCTATATAATTCTTAATTTATATAGCAAACATGATTAAATAAGGATCATTATGTAAATGTCAATAAATGTTTATAAATTAAAAAACAGCTTACTTAAGCTATCGCACAAATGCCATTAAAGATGAATTACGATATAAATGTTAGTAATTTGTTTCGTCTCATTAGATTTGAATAAAAGATTTTTACAGTTTATTTTAAAAACATAATCACATAATGTACAAAAACGTTTAAAGACAAATCATATCTTTAGCCAGTTTAAATATATTTAGTTTCCTTTTACTGCAACCTTAAACTATATAAACACGGATAAGACCTTCAACCATATTAAAAAGATGCAAATGATACGCAACGATGCTTTAACGTTGGTTTATTTAAATTATGCGAATTTTTTACTTAAGGAAAGGAAGAAATCAAATAATTATATTTGGAACAATATGATTTCTACTCATTATTGTGAAACTTACACTGAAGGTCAAGTCTATTTTTTGTGTCAAGAATAATTTCGAAATTACCTTTTTACACGCATTTTACGAAAAATTTAGACTTTCCTTTTAAATGTTACAGTTTATTTTTCTTTTACAATAGAATTATTCGGAAAATTATTGTTTACGAGAAATTAAATGCTTAAAATTAAAGTAATTTAGTCTTGCTAATTTTTAAAATTTACGGTCAGCATTGTTTTGAACTCATAAATATTTTCCGAATATCGGCATAATGCTTGAAAGCATTTAGGATAAATGCTCATCTTTAAAAAAACATAAACAAAACAAGTTATCTATCTTCATATACATTTTCTCTTATTTTAAAACATATTTCTAGTTGTACCTATTGAAATTTTATGCAAAAATTTGTGTTTGTGTTATATTTTGTAAAGTTTGGTAAAGTCTTATTCTTTACCCATATTCATACTTTGAGAAAAAAAGTATAGTCAGAATATGATAAAACTTAACATGTTTCTGTCTCTATGGTAACACCAAAAAACTCGGAAATTTCATCAAAGCTCCTTGGTAAAATTATGAAAAAAATATGGTTTAATAATGTATGGTAATTTTGTCATGAGATCTCAGAACATGATCATTTGTATTTTAAACTGAAAAGTAAATTTAACCAAAACCATTTATTTGGTTAAAATTACTTTTCTTGTTTTGTATTTTTAACTAAATGAGTGACAATAAGAATAACATATTTGAAAACTAAAATTCCCGGTAAAATCTTGCCATATTAACGGAAAAATAACCAAATGAAAGTTTTAAATACCGCATATTTTGAGTTTTTTCTTATTCTGAATTATACTTTTTTTCACCATAAATGTCATTACCATGCAGTACAGTATTCATCCATGCATTTATTATGCTTTTATTATTTTTTGTTATACGGAACCGTATATAAACTTTAATTCATTATATACAGTCATTATATATTTTTGCTTTAAATTCATTATAATAATTACATTGTTTGAACATCTGAAAATGAATCTAGCAATATTGGAAAATATATTTTAATTGCTTTCTAACTGCTACTTAATAATTAATTTCAAAATATGCAATTTTTACAAATGCTAATACTGTATTTCTCACTCTTTGAAAAATTGGTTAACAGAATTGACTGACAACAACAATGTCAAACAGAATTGACTGACAAAGCTCACTTTTTTCTAAAATTTCTACCAGTGCTTGCAAATAAACGTGCGTTATACCTCAAGGAGATTTTTTGAGAACGTTTACAGGATCTGTCATTTAGCACACTGAGCTGTAATTTATTTAAATTATACGAGCTTGGATAACATTTAAACTAAGCAAAATTTTTGAAGAGCTGCAAATCAATTAAAAATACAATGCTCCGACAATATTGTGGACAGATACGCAACAGAATTGATACTACAACCTTCTGCTTC